ACTCACATGAGTAACTGAGTACTCACTGAGTAACAATACTCAGAAATTGTTAGTAGTACCAATATGAGTACTCATGGACGAATTATGAGTAAAGTCGTACTCATCGTATGAGTACTTTCACTAGGGATGATTATTAGTAAATGTTCGTCTCTTCCTTTTCATTCAATCGATTTTCACAAATAATATAACCGAATCTCTGTCATTCATGTGTTTTGAACTTTTCCTATATTTGGTTAGATTCCTTGAAATAGGATATGTTGTTGATAGAAATTTCATTGAAAACATAACATGAATATATTTCAAAGCGATAATTGTAGTTTGAGAACAATTTAAACACTTTACGCAGAAATTAGAAGAAGAATTTTATAAAAATATACTGGAACTACTTTTCTGTGGTTTCCTTTGATCAGATCATGGAATCTTGTGACAATGTTTTATCCATGAAAAAATCTCAAAATCTAGTAGAAACCAAGTTTTATTAAAATAAGCAATTTTCAGTCATTTTAGTCAGCAAAACTAAAACTCAAAAAGCTCACTGGAAAATTTCAAGATATAATCACTTTGAGTTGTTCTGTAACTTTGTAAAAAATTAGCAAAGTTCGAATAATAACTGTTAATTTGCCAATGTAACTACTGCCAATGTAATGCGACAAAGAGTACTAGTCAAGAAGAAGAATTAAGCTATAGTGAACAGGGATCGTTCACTTCGCTACTTTTTGTGACCTAATTCAGACGAGAAATTTTTTTATGTGTGTTTATGATTTTGTTGGCTGTACGACACATCATGTCATGGTTAGCTATAGAAAAGTGAATTTTCATTAAAAATGAGTTAAGTTCGTAATAAAATTGACTATTTTTCTTTTGATTAGTTTTTGAATTTTTTAAAATTTATTCTAGACGCCGTCTGATCACATTCATATGCGAAGTCATGAAGCAGTTTCAAATCATTATATCAATGATTTTATTGGAAAATGTATTGAAGATGAATATATTCCGGACTTATTAATGGAAATAATTTCAGAATTAGAAAAAGATGTAAATTCTCAACATTAAACGGGTGAATAAATAATATTCTATACTATTTCTTCGTCATTTAGAACTACAATCGAAAACCGCAAGCAAAATCGTATAAGCAAGGTTATGATGAATATTTTGCGCAACTAAATAACCAGGACAACTATTCACACGAAAATGGACGGTAAATAATGAAAAATACATGTCGTTTTATGCGAATATGTGCTTCATTATGAACGTTTCTAAACAACTATGAGTACATTGAACAAAGAGTCAAAGTTTCGAGAGTAAAAATAAATCAAAAATTCAAGAATTTTAACAACCTTCTAACCATTATCTATCTCCTTTATTGTGTAACGTATATGGAGTTTAGCGTTTTCGAATATACTATGATATACTATACGATATTCTCATTTTAGTTTATATTCTGATCAATTGATTACAGAACATATCAATCCATCTCAATTAAAACAAAATATCAATTCAAATTTACCATTCTTGAGTACCGATGATTTAAAACAACTTGATCAACCAATAACAAACAATTATTGGACTAACAGTGGAACCGGTTCAAAATTTTCACAATTAGCCCCAGGTATTCAAGCAAAGGTAATGAATTTAGTTTTAATTGGGGATATTTATAAGAAATAATAGTAAAAGATAAATGTTTGTTGATGATTATTCTTTTTTTTTGAAGGAGAATGGTCCGGTAATGAATGACATTGAACGTCATACTCGTTATGCTGATAATAAACCACGAAACGATCAAGTACAGTTATCAACCGTATGTGACACAAGTAAACCGTTTGAATAATTAGTCTATTTATAATTTTTGTTTTATATCATATGTAGATGCCAAAAGATGCTGAAAATAAACTATTAGATATACTGTGTATGAACGAGTTAACTCGAAAATATCTTAATAAAAACGGATTTGTGGCAGATAACGATGATCAATCTCGATTCCTTGACGGTAATTAGTGACAATGTTTCTAATCAATTCTACTATATATATCATACAAGTACATTAATTTTTTTCAGGTACCATGTTGAATGTATTAATACAGAAATATCAAAATATAGGTGCAACACATTCGGAAACATTAGTTTATTAATTATGAATCTCAAAAAAATTTCATTAAAATTCATTTATGAATATTGTAAGTATTATCGTATGGAAAAAAAAAGACAACTGAAATAAAATAGCCGCTTTTTCAGAACTAAAAATCTTACATAATAATAATGTACAACATGTTTTTAGGCAATGGATTTATTGTTAATAGAACTGAGTGTTACTCTCATCGAATATATGAAAGATATCGATGATGTTAAAATTGTTATTTTGTTTGTATCTAAATGTGCATGTCTGTATGCTTTCGCATGTCCTTTATCAGGTTTAATTCAAAAACATATCAATTAATATGTCAAGGATCTTGCTTACTGTGTAATATTGGCTGCTTCAAATTGTGCTTCTCATGTCTGATAGATTCAAAATTTGGTTACAGCTTATGCCTTATTTATTATATTGCTATGTAAACTTGTATCATTGCTTCTGTAGAAATAGTTAAGTCAGATGAAGACGAATTAATTGTTTAATTAACATGCTACCTATAACTTATCTAAAATAAACCTAAGTAATTTTATCCACTATTTAATTAGTAACAAAATCTTTTCCTTTTTTTCTGAATGTTAAATTTTTATTTTTCTGCTAATTGCTAATCGTAGATCTTTTATCCTACCAAATTACCAAATTACTTCGATTTTCTTCTATTATAGTCACATTAAATATATAACATACCGACCGATAAATAATCAAACAATATATTTATATTTTTGTTATGTATTGTATGTGCGTGTATGTCTCTATAGTAGCTATTTAGTGTACGTATATTTACCTGTGGTACAGTAACTTTGGATTTACTGAATCTATCCTACCACTTTCTGGTTAAACAATGTTGAATCATGGTGTTTTCTGTTATCTTGGTGCATCTATTATTTCAACTATATTTCGATCTAAAAAATCATAGATTTTATTGTTTCTGAAGGATATAACGCCCAAGCACACAAAAACTATCGAGTATCGCCCAATGCATCTCGGTGATCCTTTTACTGGTCGACGCATATAGATGCAGATAAATGTTTCTCTCGATACAACTTGATAGCATTGCCTGTGAATTGATATTTTCATCGGGAAAAACTCGGTGCATTCAAATATATTGGGCAATACGTCGATCAATGCAGTTAGCTAACTCGATACTCTAGCTGAAATATCTAGATAAAAGAGTAAAAAATATCGACCGATACTCCAACTAAAGTATCTAGATATTTCGGCTGAAGTACTTTTGCTTGGGCAAATTCAGAAAAATCCTAACGAAACGAATCTAATGGACACAGAATAAATCTTGCACCAATATATTCTTTTTACTTGTTTCTTCTTCACCATATTATTTCGAAGTCACAACTTGTTCTAAAATTGTTAATTTTTCTTTTATATCCTCTTCTACAGCTGCCTATAAGACCTTCAGTTCATTTCTCGAATATGATTTTCATAAATTGCCAAGCCATTTTGTACAGCATCGCATATTGATCTAATACTGGCACCATTTTTAGTGTGTTTATCAATTTCTTAACGAACACTTATACCTATTCGTACAACATTTATTTGCAAACAAGGACATCAGTAACAAGCCACCTTTTTTACCTGAAGAAATAGCGTTTTATCGGCTTCAATCATATCAATTTCGGAATATGACATGCGAGAAAATGTCGCGAAGAAGGTTTAATACTTGTAATGAAAAGAACCAATGTACCATCAATACAACATTGATCACTCTCATTATGCATATTACCGAACTTTGGTAGATAATTGGATGTTGCTACTATTGTAGTTACAGCTATTGCATTGATTACCGAAGTAATGGCTTTGGTATCATCCCTGGGAATCATTTTTTAATCGCTTGACGTTCATTTTCGTCATCAATGAAGTTTACTGATGATTGAGATTTGCTTCAATTCTCATGCTTAGCTTTCTAAATGATATGTCCAGACTAAAATCACAAAAACAAAATAGAGAATCGCGTTCACGATAAACTAAACAATGCGAGTACAACTTTCTGTTCATTTAAATTTGAAGAGCGCCTGTTGTGCAGGATTCGGTGACGTCCATTTAAAAAACTTCTATTAAAGCGTTATTTTTTTAATGAAAGTAGCGGAATTTATCATCTTTTAATGAAAGTTTTTTTAATGAAACTCCGATATCCCGTATTTTTGATTTTTTAAATAATTTTCAAACTAATGTGCTCTCAAGTGATATAATTCTCCAAGATGACCAAAATTTGAATCATGCACACCACTGACACATCTGGGAATCGAATCAGCAAAATTTTCTATTATATTAGATGAGTTCCTCTATCTCCTACGATGGTAAGTAATGCAATGCGTTTTTCCAAAAATAATTTAAAAATAAAAATGAAGACAAAAATGTACTCTTCGAGAAACAATACGCTTTTTAATTTTTTAAAATTTAAATGAACGAAACATTGTGTTCGACCTAAAAGTATTGTCTACTTTGAGCGCGATTCTCTTTTCTTTTCGATTTTAGTGTGCACGTTGAAAGTTCAAATTGGAGTCGAGAAATTTTTTGGCTTTCCATTTTTATTAAATAACAGATTAATGTCGATTAATTAAAGGATATGGATGTTCGTACTCAATTTAACAACTACCTGAATGAAGCATGCTAGACAGATACTAGTAGGCTATATTAGCACCGCTGGATTTGATACATCATTCTCTTCAGTTAATTTTGCAAGTTTATGGTCCCGCTGCTATGTCCCTTTCTCTTTCTTGACTTTGGTTTATGAGAGAGAGGCAGTCTATTTCGATTTTCAATTCTGAAACTTTAAATTGTTCTTAATTGCGCGTACTTAATTCATGAAAACATAAAGTCACAAACAATCATACGGACAATTTTATTGTATCGTTGTTGTAGTTCTTTCCATTAATAAAATAGTATCATTTAACAAACGGAATCATAATTAAGGTATTTTTTTAAAAAATAACTCTTCTCTTCCCCTTTCCACGCTTCTTCTTCCTGTTATTTACAGTTGAAAACTCATAAAAACCTCTTGGTGATACGGATGTAGAAAATTAAAACGAAATAAAAGATCTTCGTTTGGATCTCTTTGCACCTGATTTGTAATCAACATATTTCTGATGTAAGTTCATTTTAAAAAAAGAATGCGTCTTATTTTACCGTCTTACTCTTATATTGGTCTTATTTTTTGTCTTTCGACTTACGAGGGAACCGATTTAACTGTCAAACCGTTTTTTCAATGACCTAGTAGATTATAGGTTATCGCCTACGCTGATTCCGAATATGACCATGACAGTTGCCTATAGGTCTCCAGCGATCTGGTTTTTAGAAAACCAGTTTTTTAGAAACTCTAAAATAACCAAAACCTTTCCTAATGAGGCATAATTGTAGCCCACACATTTCTGGTTAAAATAAGACATCTCCCAGCTCTATACGACCTTCTGTGCAAAGTTATAGAATTTATAAGAAAAGCCCTAAATGTTCATTGTCAGCTCAAAGTTACAGAAATAAGAAATTAATTTAGGGCTTCGCTTGTAAATTCTATGACTTTTCACAGAAGGTCGTGTAGAGCTGGGAGATGTCTTATTTTAACCAGAAATGTGTGGGCTACAATTATGCCTCATTAGGAAAGGTTTTGGTTATTTTAGAGTTTCCAAAAAACTGGTTTTCTAAAAACCAGATCGCTGGAGACCTATAGGCAACTGTCATGGTCATATTCGGAATCAGCATAGTCGATAACCTATAATTCACTAGGTCTCATTGAAAAAATGATTTTACAGTTAAATCGGTTCCCTCGTTACTGGAAACCTGACTATCTATGAGTCTTATTTCTAAGATCGAAGAAAAAAGATCTATCTTATTTTTATCATCTGAAGTACAAGAAGAGATCATTCACCTCTTCTGTTTCGCAAATTTTTACTTCGCATATACAAAAAGCAGAAGATTCAATGAAAAAATATTTTCCTTTGATGGAATACTAACATTAACTAGACTGGTAGCACTGGCCTACACTCATACTCTACTATGTGGTAGGATCAGTCTTAAAATTGGAAATTCTATTAAAAATAAGACTGATGAGGATATTTTTAGTCGAAAGTCTTCCTTTTATCTTTAGAACTTTTTATGAAATTAATTACGGACTTACAAGAGAAGGTCTCCAATTGTCCAATAGCTTTTTGCTTGAAACATACATGGTTATAGGTAATTTCTAATGCTGATCATGAATATGATATTCATTTGGGCTCATATGGACTTTTGGTGTGGATCTCTGGAAAACCGATCTCTTGAGACTAGAGATGTGCACGGGTATCATTTTCGTACCTGTACCCGACCCGACAACTTTGTACCCGTATCCGACTTATGCCTCGCGTTAGGAATGTTTACTTTAAGACGCGTTTTTTTCTAGAGTGAACTAGACATGTGATTTATTACTGACACTTTTGTTAGAGATTATGGTCAATATTTTGAACAACACTGTTCTCATACTGTATCAATTTTAAAAATACTATAAAACTGATTTAACAATAGTAAAATTGTTTGCTGATAAATTTGAAAATGAGTAAGTTTAAAATTCGTCGATAGATGAGAAGTCATGAAAAAAAAAAGAAAGAATATAGTAAAAAAAAAGGTGCATACGCAGTGTGCATCTATGAATGTCGACCGAAGAGAAGACAGGTCATTTAATCTGAATGTGTTTGCTTTACTTTATCACTCTACCGGTATGTATACTGTAGATTAAGAAAAATTCATTCTTTTTTTCTATTCTTTCTATGATTAATATTCTTCAATAGTTCAACTGCTGAACTCTTGATGTGACGGTGATGGCCAGGTAATCTATCTCTTAGTCATGGTGATACTATGAATTATTCTCTCCTTCTTCAATATATACGCACACATACCGTTCGTTCATACTTTTTTTTTGGAGGGTAGAGGGGGGAAACAAAAAAGAAGAGAGAGGAAGAAGTGTGACCTTGTACTCTTATAGCCTTCACTCAGAATATAGAACGAACGAACATGAATAGGTCATGAAACTCAAGTTTAAATTTTATTTTTGTCTGTATATATGTGCTAAAATAAGAAAACAATGAATGTTACAAAATTAATAGTCGTTGTATGATGGAACCGGTAAGTGTACAACATAGATATGTGGTTTATATGACAATGTAGATAAAATTCAGTTGAACTTACACGAATGCATGTTGAGCAACATACAAATAAAAAACTCTTTGGAGAATTTACAGTTGTTTCATTTGATTAACATATGAAAAATTGTCAGCTGTTACCATTGTATTTTTGGATAGAGAAAAACCTCGGATGTTTATATACCACTTTTATACTCAACACTTTTCCGATTAGAAAATGATATAAATAATATCTTCTTCTTCTTCTTCTTATCAAGTAAGTATTAATAATTCCAAATTATGATATGTAATGTCGACAAATAAAAACGTTAGTGAAAAATTTGTCTCTCATCTACTTGATAATATCATAACTATACCATATTCTACAATTGACAGACACTTATCAATTTTATTTAACTTTAATGTTTTATCTCGTAAAGTCCACACAGGAGGCAATTTATTTAATTTTATTTCTAACAAACTTAATTGCTTGTATACTTTTTTTTGTTCTAATTGAATACAACATGCGTTAATTCATTTAAGGAACAATAATATAAAGTGTATCTTTCTACTAAATTATTGTATAAACGTAGACCTGCATATCACACTATACACCTATATTTGGTATTTTTTTCTTTCTCTTTTAGTTCTGTCTCATTCTCTCTTGCTACTCTCTAACATCTAGTTAATAATATTAAAAATGGGTACATGTTACAGTAAACGATCTGGTTGTTACGATTTAAACTCGTTTAATTCTACTTTACCACCACCCGAAACTCCAATTGCTCTAAGACGATTTAGTAGTCTACGTCAAAGTTTAAAAACGATGACATTTTCACATCATAATCGAAAAAGTTTTCGCTATAAAACTGTTGTTAAAAATAGTACAAATAAAAACTGGTATATTATACGTTATAATGAAACAAAAGAATGTCTCGTATGATTAAAATTATTATTATTATTATTATTATTATTTATTGTCATATTTACAAGCAATACATTCCATTCTCAAATTATAGTATTAATCTTTATTGTGTGTGTTCATATTCAAGTTTAGTATTATGCGTAGATCAAGAACCTAAATCTATCAACAATAACCGGTGTTGTCAGATAAAAAATGAATTTGTTTGTTTTTCTGGTTTTTCAAATAAAAAATTATTTATCCACACATTTTTTTAGCAAAATATTCTTAATTTATCGTCAGATATATTGCAATGGTAGTTTTAAAAATATCAATCATCTTACTGGAAACCGTTACAGTCGCACTTTCATATTCTGAAGTTTCGTAGACTTTAATGGAACATGTGAAGGAGATTTTCGTGTTATCTGATTATTAAGTACATATTCACCCTCTAATCCCAATATTTTACCATCAAGATACAGTTTAGAGTTCGATCAACTTTTTTTTGCAAAAAGTTTCAGTCTTTTGAATACTATAAATTCGACGATGGCAGCTTTGTCCAAGAAGAACACAGTTGATTTTTCGATTTTCACCAACTTTCAATGATTTTTCCGATTTTCGATTCGATTGAAACCGGTACCGGTTACATCTATGAGTTTTCTGAATAAGTGTATTGAAGAGCTACAGCACTTGGGATATTTCAAGGTGCTTGTTCGACTACTTAGTAAGTATTTTCAGAATTATTCACTTGCTAAATACTGGCTCAATATTCACCTATTCAGTTACAGTCAACTACTTCAATAAATAAAACTATTTGTCTCAACAATAGTTTAACAGTTTTCATTTAAATCTAAACGACATTGTTCTACTTGACTATCGACATAGTTTATTCATTCTTTGTAACAGTTTTATTCATATTCAAATATTAGCTTAGTTCATGTGTTGAAGAGTTGTTTTTTTAACATTGAAATATCATGCTGAGACTGAAGATAGACGCTCGTTGAATTATTCTAACATTTTGGTTAAAAAGAATAAGTCTTTAAAATAAATACTTAACTTAAGATGTAGAAATATTTGTGTAATGTTTACCGGGTTTAACATCGGTAAACACTTAAGATTCTTTTTTAAGTACTTGAAACCCTTATGATGTTTTATACAAATATCTGACAAGTAACTCAGAAGTACTTTATACGTAAAATTCCTTGTGAAAAAACACCAGAGACTAGCTGTCTTACTTCTACCAATCAGTACTTGACTCCAAGTGTATCTACCAGATTAGAAATGTTATTATCTAAAACACTGTTGTGTTGTATCAGTAGTACTTTTTACCCTAGTCGACTTTCCCTATAAAAATCCCTGGGGAGTCACGACATATGATTTTTATAGAGAACGTCGACTAGGATATCAGCAACGAATGCAGCATGTATGCAGAAGACCACGTTCATTGTTGAAAGGACGCGTATATTAGAGATGTCTCATTATACAAGAAAAACATCCCCAGTTATGAAATTATCATATGTCAAATTATAAAATAAACATTTGTAATCAGTTTTTTTATTACTTGTCTCTATCGTTCGAATATCTTGCACTTTAAGGATTAAATGTATATCACCTTGGTTATAAAAAAAAAATATCAACATTATTAAGACAAAAAAAGAAGAAGAAAGAAACAGAGAAAGAATACATATATATATATATAAAGAAAAGTACAGTAGAAAAACAACAACAAACTGAGGAAATAAACAAGCATAGTAAGAAAAATAAATTTGATATATATGGCGTATCTTGATTATAATTTCAAGAATATTGATAAGAAGATTTTCTTTTTTAGCACAAAAAATAAAGATGAATAAAAAAATTTATTCTAAATCTTGATTATTTGATATGAAAAGTAAAAAGTATACAAAAAAAAATGAAAGAAATAGCCCCGAATATAAAATAGAGAGAACACTTGTTATTTAAAAATGAAAAAGAGAGATAGTCTAATTTATTTTTAATCGTTTAGGCGATTTGTCATTATCATCAATTGTTGTTATACGTGGATTTGTTGTTAATGCATAAATATATTTTGTTATATTTATTTCTATTATTCCATCACGTAACATGAAACATTTTTCTCGCTGTTTTTTTGTATCAAATGGTTTTGTTATTTCTAATTGTTGTTCACTACCATTATGTTGAATTGTCGGTGTTAATAATGTCGAAAATTGATCAATTGTTCGAGCAAATTGTGAACAAAAACGACGAGACTTGATAAATTGTGTTTTAATTTTATTTTGATCAAGAAGAAATGTTAATAATTGTTGACAATAATTACAATCACAATTAATATTTAATTCATCTAATGGCCATTTTTTTAAAGGTGGTGGTGGTAAATTACATTCATAATTTAGTACAGATAAACAATATTCATATAAATCAATAAACCATCGAGGAATATTTTGTTGTTTGAAAAATGTTGACCATAATTTTTTAATTAATGGTATAAAGGCTGGTTCTAAATAAATAACAACATATTTATTGTCTATTCGAAAATGGTGTTCAGTTGATGTTTGTTCACTATTACGAGAAACTTTAGTTTAAAAATACGAAACCAATATGTACATTCTTTAAAATTATTGGTAAGTAAAAAATTAAACTGTTTAACTTGAACGTTTCTAAATCGACTTTTTGGCCACTGAATATCTGTCAACAGAATGAAAGAAGACTGAATGAATGAAACTAGACTGACGGCATACAACGATGAGAAGAATGTTGCTGTCTGAAACTACTATAAAAATTATACGATTTGTCGAGAAAAAATACACCTATTTTTAGCCATGAGTATACAAAAATCAACACACACATAATATCTCACTCAAAAAAAATCAACTAAACTATTTGAAACTGGATAATAATAAAACAAAAATTTTAATTTTTCTATCTCGATGAGGATGCAAATCAACTCATTTGATTATGTTCTGACAGTTTTACATGGTCTGATCATTATTTGAATGAGATATAGATTTTTTTTGTTTTTGTATGCTCAAGATCGATAATCATCAGACTTGCTCAATTTCTTTTGAAAATAAACATTGCTATGTTATTTTGAATGGTTAATAACGTATAATGTATCACGTATCAGAGCCCGAAACAAATCAGATTCGAGACAACAGTTTCGAGTCGATTTAACATTTCCGAAATCAAATTCTGTTCGATTACGGCAAAAAGCCAAATCGAGTTTCGAATTATTCGATCCGTTTAGGACTGTGCATCTTGTGGACGGACACTGGTTATAAAGGAAAAAAGGACAAAATGTTTTTGTGTACAAATTCGACTCGATTCGATCCAATATTTCTGATATCAAATTCGATTCGATCCGATTCGAGACAACTGTTTTGAATCCTAAATCGATTCGACTCAACATTTTTGAAATCCGATTTGTTTTGGGCTCTGTCATACATTTATGAAATTCAAAAATGTTTAAAATCTAATGATTTGGGAAGTTCAAATAATTCTAGATAAATCTTTCATTCACGTTCGAACGGAGTTGCCCAATTTTTTTAATTAATTCGAACTCATTTTTAATTGCAAAAAAATGTTAATTTGAATGAATTGAATATGAGACTTTTATAAATTAGTTTGAATTAATTAAAAAAGTTCCAATGGATCGTCCATGAAGTAGAACAAATATGATTTTATCTACTTGTGCTATTAGTAATGAGAAACTTCGATCTCTAAGATGTCGTCCGATACGATATATCAAGATAGTTTGTTATTTTCATGGGTAGATAGGTAAAAGTGGCAAGATTTCTATTATAATTTATTCAAAAAAGCAATATTTTCCATCTTTTAAAATGGATAGTAGTCACTTTGTTTTTCTCGAATTATTAGTAAAAAATAAGAATTTACTCTACTTTTTCTAGCTATTTATCACATACCAAAAAATCGCTGAATTATATCATCATTTTGTTTATGACATTTATTCATAAAATTAATCATTTGTTTTGATATTATATTTAATGATAATAAATATGTGTCATCAAATAATGAAAGTAATTCTAAAAGTGAACAAACTGTTTTCATTGGTGTTGTTTCAAATATTTGTTTTTGTTTGAATATTTGTTTTAATAATGTATTAATCATACACATAATTAAATGAAATAAATCATTCTTTGTTGATTGTTGTTGTTGTTGTTGTTTTGTTTGATTTACTAGTGAAACAAATGCTATTAAGAATGCTACACCTCTTGGATGATTAACCGCTTTTTGTAATGAATTAGAAAGATCAATTCCAATGATTTGCCAACCAATTAAATTTCCAAGTTCAAAAATATCGTCTGCTAAATGTTCTTCTATTAATAATTCTATTGAAAACCAACGATGTTTAATTAAACGTTGTATAATAGCCATAACTGAACGATCAACATCTATATTTTCTGTTTTTGTTTTAAATAATGTTATTAAACGATTTATTATTGGTGTTACATTGCATCCAAGCATATGTTCTGTCATTAATAAACAATCAATTGATTCAAGACATTCTTTTTTCAATATGATTGATTTTAATTTTGATGAATAATTATGTTGAAGTGTCCAACAAAAATCAAATTGTTTATTATAAAGTTCTTGTACATCATCAAATAATAATTCATATTTTCTATGATACGGTACTAACATTAAAACACCAATTTTTGGATAAGAAAATATTTGATTACCTAAAATTAAAAAATTTCATATTATATGAGTACAATATTACGATAAACAGATAACTCTCGTTTTAGCTAGCTAAATCTACACATATAGAAAAAAATATATATCAAGAAAAATTAAAAATTTTAAGAGTTTATCATGACGGTCATACTACGCAGTTAATTATGATTATCTTTAAACATGATTAAATGTAATTGCGGTTGAAAATGGAAAGAGAACGGTATGAGAAACAGATAGTGGATTAATTTTTAGAAGAATGACAAGTATTTTGACTAGAGATCACACGTGAAGATAGACATGAACGGGACTGAGACTACAGAATTTTTTAGCAGAGGTTGGAACCGAGAATGTTTTTTTTTGACAACAATTTCATAAAAATAGCTAAAAATTTACCGTTTTCCATACATAAATAGGACTCTTTTAGAAAATGGATAACAAGTCTGCCGGAGTTCTCCTAAGTCTTGATCTTTCTATCTAGTCCATTTACTATTGAAATGAAAGTAAGCTTTATTATCAAAATCTCAAAAAGCACCGTGTGTTTTAATTCAAAAAACAAGTTATATCATCACAAATATATCATTATCTACCTAACTCCTTACAGCTTCACTGTCCGCATCCGCATCCTTTTTGTATTTGATGAGTAAAACGTTTTCCAGGACTTGGATAGGGTTTAAAAAATCTTACTCCCATCAATGTAGGGCCAACAGCCTACAAAATTAGTGAAAAAATAGTTCTTTCTCTCATATGACTTGAATCCAATTGTCCAAACAGCCAGCCTATTCTAAAGTCTGGAGTATACCGAATAATGATTAAAGAGGGCTATCACACTTTCTAAACCTTCAGAATTCTAACTCGCTTTCATCAGAATCCAACTTTACTTCACACAACAGCTACAGAATTGAATATGAAAGAGCAGATTTGAGCTCACATAGTTTTTAAAACATTGAGCCTCGGTTTGGAAATGTTTTATTTATTACTCACTCTCATGCTACACCTCTCCTCTCTCCCTCTAAAGATTGTTCACGTTGTCAGGAGTGCTGTAGTGTTAGAAGTATGGCTCTATGTGGTTTTATGGACTCATAGAACTTTTCATTGATACGGCACAATAGGCCAGTTCAATTCTGTTAGATCTATATTCAGTTCTATTGTCAATTCTGCTATGAAAATGATCAATTCTGATGAAATGAAGTTCAATTCTGCTTAACTCGAATCTATCTCTTTTTCATACACAGTTCTGCTTAACTTTCAACTCTGTTCATGTCTGTCTATTGTTCTCGATTCTGACGTTTGTTTTGATTCTGCTGTGTTCTACCTAGAATTCTGAATCTGGAAGAACTCAGCCACTGCTGTACTGAAATTAAAGATCATTTGCGTAGTGTGACTGTCGTATATTTATGCCGAAATCAAATATTATATTCTTCAAAATATGTGGTCTCTGTTCAAAGCATTAGATATTTCGATTACTTTAAAACAAACATATCATCATAGTCTTAACAACAAGCAAACACTACTAATGAATTTACCCGTTCCCATATTTTCATGATCAAATGTTCTATCAAGACGATCATACAATGTTCGATTAATTAATTCAATTTCTTCATTAACATCAACTTTTTTGATAGATTTGAATGTTTGCCATACTTGTTTACATATTTTTTCTTCTATTTCATTTAGTTGTATTAAATTATCAACAAACATATCATCATCCATGACATCACCATCCTCATAAAGTTCTTGTTCATGTTTCAATGTTCCAAAATATAATAAAAATTCATCATGTGGCCATAAATGATGACAAACATCGGATGAAAAACGCAAACGTTTAATAGATTCTAATAATAAATTTGTGTATGCACGATCTTTACTATTTAATGATAATGAAGATATATCTGATTTAGCATATAAACCTGTTAATGGAATGATTAATTTTGATGCACCATTTGAGTGTCGAAGCCAAGTTAATAATATTTCATTCATTTGTTGAACTAATTGTTCATCCACTCGTGTTGGATTCAAATACATCGTTGGTATTAGTGTTGAAGAACAATCAATATCATAAACTAATGTTAATTTATAACCATTTGTTACTCGATGAATTTCATGTTCACAATTATTAAAACAAACAATATAATGTAGACTATTTTTGCTATTTTTTGAAAAATCAAATACATATTTTTCTTTTTTATTAATTAAATAATCCTGACCACCTTCATACGTTGATGGTAGAACCACAATTAATTTTGCTAATACACCATTTTGTTCATCTTCTATTTTATATGGTTTTGAGCACAAACCTTTTCCATACAAGACTAATTTTGTTAAGTTGATATTCAATTGATTTTGTTTAATCCATTCATCATTTAAACCTAAATCTATTGGTATTTTTGAGTTCAAGTCTTCCATTAATTTTGAATTCCATTCTAGATTATTGATGGAAAAAAACGATGGTGACAATTCCCATCTATCAGCAATCTAAAGCAAAAGATAAAGGTAGAGTTGACCAATACTGTATAAAGTGAGTGCTACGAAAGAAAACCAAGGCACAGCAATTTTCTTCAAGAGTCACCTTCATATTATGACAATACTGTATTCGCTGTTAGATTTCATTCTCAGGCGTACTATTAAACCTTTTACCTACTGTAATTTAATTCTTTTTAACAAAATTTGAAATTTTTAATTTTGCTGAAAAAATTCAAATTCTTATTTTTAATGCTCAAATTAAAAATATTGCAGTCTCCTGCTTACCAGTGAAGCATCATCTTCGATATCTTTCGTTATGGTTGGCCGTGTACATTTGTTAATAATTAAATGTGCACTGTCATCAGTAAGAGGTAAATGAAGAATTCCATCAATTGTGTTAAATCCATCTAACCGTAGATCACATAAATATTCAAAATTACCACCAGCACAATATGCATTTATACATTCAGCATCATCTAATGTTGATTGTAATAATTCCTTATAATTTTGTTCAGTTACTACCATTACAGACGCGGCCGTTGTTACATCATTACTGTCGTCTAAAAAATAGAATAAAAAAATACGTCAATGTAGAACAAACAACTTAACAATTATTCCTCTTCTATATATGACACAAAGTCTGCGAAAAACAATTTGCAGTGTTTAAGAACGGATGAAAAAATTAATCTCTTCCTGAATTCGAATGTCAATTACTGTCAAGAAACCATTGTGAGCATCAGATGAGTAGTAATACAAAAGAAATTGAAAGGTGCTTTCGTACTTGTTGATTCATCGTCTACATTCGAATTTGAGTCAGATTGAAAGTCTTCAATAACAAAAATCTGGTACTTTTCCGAAGCATTCGACTCCTGATCTTCGTCCATATTCATTCAGATATCAAACAGAAGAGCTAAGTTAATAAAATCTAAAAGCATGTAAGAGAAGAAATAATGATTGAACCGGCAT